GGGGGGGGGGGGGGTTTCTTTAGAATTGCTTCAGCCCTGCCAAAGGAGCACACCTAAGAAAATTCAATTTGGGTAAGACCCAGCTATTTGAGGAAGGTTCAGTAAATCAATTCTCTACTGAAGTCTGCGCTTTTGTCAACCCAGAGCCTACATTCTAAATTGAACCCCAAGAAGATATTCTATCTAAAACTATCCTACTCTCCTACCAAGAGTCTACACATCCTTTGAGAAGACAGGTATGGTAAAGGGTATTGGTTCTGGAGACTGCCTGCTAATTTTGAACTCCAGCTCTCTCCTGAATTTAGCCATGTGGCCTGTTTGACTAAATTCTTCAATGTATGAAAACATGATATTCATACTGAACTCCTAAAATTGCTAGCGGCATTAAATCAGTTAGTTAATCCTTCGCTTGAAGGGTTTGAGATTTAGTAATTTAGACCAAGACTTGAAATTCAAAGCAACCAATAAATGAAACTTGTAATTGCTCTTAGATGACCTTTCAGTTTTGTTTTTTTTTTAAAGATTTATTTGTGCATACAGAACTGGGGGACAGGCCAGAGGCTCAGGAGCGGTGTGAGGCTTCACCAGAGATAGTGCGGAGCAGAACAGGCATGTACGAAGTACACTGTGTACAAAGTACACTGGAGAGGGGAGCAACAGACAGGTCAGGAGATGTCTGCCGCGCCATGTGGTCACCTCTGGGGCAGGCGGGAATCGAACTCATGCGGAAGTGGCTTTAGCTTCTTAGTGCTGTGCTTTAACCCGCTGCGCCACCAGGGAGGGCCGACATTTCAGTTTTTAATGTAAGTTCTTTAAAAACAAAAATAAAATGCTACATTCAAGTTCTAATTCCAAAAAGAATTTGATGCTTAGCTTGGGCTCCATCTGGTGGCTTTACAGCAGTTCTTTGGAAAACATTAGAATCAAATAAAAAGTGAGAAATTTTGAAGAGGTAATCACTTAAAAGGACAAAGAACAGTACCATACTTCTCAATTTATGTTCTTTGGGAATGAAGCAACAAAGAAGTGAATACACCGCTGTGCTAAGTTTGGAGGGCCAGTCTAATTTCTCCAGAGGTGGGAAGTCTTGCTGACGGTGCAGTTCAGGAACTCACTGCCTTGAAGCACCCATTCGCAAGCTGTGCAAGACAAATTCTCTTAGTAACCAACCACTGTCCAGAGGCCATGACATCGAAGAATATGCTTCTCACATGTTGACAGCGTTGTACTGACTTTGTTAACTTTTAAGTTAAATCTTAACAGTCTTAAGTGAATATCCTGATATAAGAAATAGGTCCTGGATGAAAACTCAAAGATATCATTACTAGAGCCAAATGGCACAGAGTCAAATGAAAGGTTGTAAGGTGGCGCGGGCTTATTTACTTAAAATTGAGCCAAAATATACCTGACAAGGCTGCCAAAACCTATGCAGCCTTGTTTAACATCACCAATGCAGACAACTCTTATGATGGGGGGAAAAGAATGTCAGTAATTTAGCTGATAAAGTTAGGCTGAACTTGTCAGTGGTTTAACTGAGATTTTTTCAATGTTTATTTTACGAATGAACATACATATTTACCTTTTCCTCACAAACTCTTTATTGTTCATAACTTTACCAAAGGCCCAGAATGATATTTTTCCAACTCATGTTTTCTGTTTTGAAAAAAAATTATTTCAAACATTTAAAAATTATTCACTAATTTTTCAGTGAACTAACCATTGGGTAATTGAGAAAAGTCTATTATGTAAAATAACTTTAGATGATACTGGTATCAGATTTTATACTCAGAATATGGGTAATGTATCTGTAGATTACTTTTCAGTCTAGCTGTGTGCAGGGGCAAAAACTGTAAGCTGATGACTATGTGACTTATTTTGAAAGTTCTCTTTGAACTGTACTCTCCTGAATAGATGCCCATGTGGGTAGACTAGAAAAGTTCTTGGTACACAGTAGACACTCAAAGATTTGTTGTTCTAGGGAAATGTACTAATGGTTAACAGAATTACAGTGAAAGTTCAGAAGCAATGCCAAGTTTAAATAGCTTAACTAAAGGTAAATTTAGTTCCAGGTGAAATTAAAATTAGTAAACTACAGCAGAACAGACATAACAAAATAACTTCACCATCAGCACTTGCAACAGACTCAAAGACTGGTTTCAGAGAGTCAGAGTTAAACAGGCTTCTTTACAGCTGCATCTCTAAAGACTATAAGCTAACGCTTTTTATGAACTTTCAAGTTTGGACCCATTCCCAAATTCACGTTGACAATGAAATCTATACGTGCCTTGGTTAAAAAAAAAAAAAATGATTCTTAGCAAAATACACTGGGAAATGTTGTATTTTTGTAAATTCAAAATAATAACTGAAGTACATAAGGCATTTCCTAGGAAGTTCTAATGTCCTATATAAACGGAGCACATAGACTAGTGCATGTTAATATTTTACAAAAAAACTTAAAATGTTTTAAAAATCTGGTCTCTCTGTTGGAAACCCAAGGATATATGAAATAAAAGATCTACACACAAAATATGTTTGAGTGTGAATTACACAAAATCAGCACTATGAACAAATACTGCTGTTAAGACCCACTGACAGCTTTTAAAAAAACATTACATAACAGATTGGTTTTAAATCTTAATTCGCTCAAATTCATCTATTATCATTGTTCTTCACTACGAACAAATACCTACAATCATGGCAATGTCTGATAATCCCTGCATACAAATAGCAGCTGATTAAAACCTCAATATAACTTTCAATCATCAAAGAAAGTATTTTATTCAAGATCCAAAACAAACGAGATATGAATTAAAAAGACCAAGTTAAAGTAAAAAGTTTTCATTTGGTGGAAGCTGGCATCAATGTGCACACGCACATCAAACATCTGTCCCAGAGGCCTTTCTCCAGTTTCTAAGGGTCTACCAGGCCAACCCCTTCGCTGCTTTTGCTGCTTTTGCTTTGCTTTTCCCCTTCTTGCTCTGTCGCTTTGCCTTCAGCCTTTTTCTTTGCCTCTGGTTCATCCATATAGGATACTGTCCATGCTGGTCTAGAAGACTCTTTCTGTTTCTCTTAATTTCTGTCTCCATTTTCATGTCATCTGAATTAAAAATGGAAAAAACATCAATACTCATGAATGAGAAAAAAGTATTACTACAATGAAAAACATCAGAAAGAAGTCTAAAACCATAAAAGAAAAAAATTCCTTGTTTGTGGAATGCTTCTTTGACAAGTATCTGAAAACTCCTTATAGCACATTCAGTGGGATCATGCACGTTGGCACCATGTGTTCCCACAACCATGACCAACATAAAGTGTGAGGAACAGGAGACATCATCTATTTAGTCATTAAGAAACACTGTAAAGAACATTGTCATGATTATCTTTCTTTGGAGTAGTACAAGTTAAAGAAGCTATTGAGGATGTATGACTTTAAGTCACTGCGGTAAGAAGAGCAAGATTCTGAGCAGATGTGAATTATTAGAACATTTCTCAGAAAAAGAGCCTCCTTGAGTTAAGAAAGTAAGTTGTGTCAATAAGAGGTGTACCCAGATTTCTACAGTCAGGTCTTTAAATTATTACATAATATTTTAATATGATACAGCTATATGTTACATATTATAAATAATAGTTAATAAATATTAAAATGACTGGTAACTTCCCATGGAGTGAAATTGGGAGAACCGGAGTACTAAGCAAGCTTGTAACAGAGGAGGATAGATGACAAAGGAGGCCCTGGATATATCCTGGCACTGACACACTTTCCTACCCAGCTAACACCCACAGATCCAGCTCCACTAACAGACATTTTCAGGAAACTCAGTGCAGCCATAGGGTGATACATCTACCACAACCTTACCTGTTGTTAAGGACATGCCCAGAGTATCCCCCTTGAGAACTTAATAGGTCTTCCATGATCTCTACCACCTCACATATAGAAACTCATTTACCTGGTTCATTTTCTGTCTCTTCTATCACAACAGCAATCCCATCAAGATAGAGAACAGTTCTCTGATATTCATCATTGTTTCCACAATCCCTAGCATAGTGCCCGTATCTCTTGGCATATCAGTATTAGTTCTTGAGTGATTATTTTTGATACTGTTCTAGAGTCTGAGAACACATTGCTCCAAACAAGCTCCTTGTTCTCATGGAACTTACAGTTTTCTGTTGATGAAAAAGCAACTTCCACCTGTAGTAAGTAGCATTTTTAAGAACCAGATTAAGGTTTAAGACCCAGATGCAGTGTAGGACTTGGTAGTCCCAGTAGGCACAAGGGATAACAAGCACAGCAATGACAAAATCTGATTTTTATTCTAAAAGGATCATGTTGGTTGATAGTTAAAAATAAATGAGAAGGGAGCAAGAGTTGGAGAGCAAAAAGGTTACTATTGTGGTTCAAGCATGAGGTGACAGTCACTTAAAGTGGAAGCATGAAGGCAGGAGAAAGATGGAGCATACCCTAATGCATTCTACAGGTGTTCAATATATGCTAATAACAGATTAAAAGGATAAAGGAAAGGGATCAAGAGTGATTGCTTCCACCATCCGATTCTATGAAAGTGTCAAATATCTCAAATAATTTCTTGAATGCTATTAATAGTGAAAAACAATGGTTTTATTGGTTTTTACCAATAACATACAACGCTGAAAGCAGACCTGAAAACAAAACGGAGTAAGAATCACAAAAGAAAATCGGTAGGATTGTTTAAAAAAAAAAAATGAAGCACATAAACCCACCTTTTTCATCTTTTTCCACACACTGGGCTGTCTGTTGGCAATGTTTGGGCACCACGACAGTTGCTATCTCTTGTACATCTTTCATTAAGACATCAGTGTCTACTTTAAGGATACTTTTTAGCCTGCTGAGCTCCTTCGGGGCATTCTTTTTTCTCTTTTCTGCACGCATCTTTCTTTTCCACTTACTCCGTAAGCTTTTAGCCATATTTACCTAGAAAACTATACAAAAGTAGAAATTCAAATGTAAATAGTTACTATAAAAATAAAAAGGCATGCCCTCATCAAAAAGTATCTCTACAGGAGAGGAAGGTGAAATTTCTCACTTTGTTGCTGGTTTATGATGCTATACTGTGCAGTATATGGGGGGTCAACATGGCACATAGTTTATGGGGGGTCAGCATGGCACATACAGCCATTAACTAACAAGGACATGAAATAAACTCCTACTAGTCACTGGCAGCTGTAAGTCAAAGGTACTTTCTGAAAGCTCCTGAAGTTTCCATACAAGATACAAAAATTTAATTTCCCCCCAAATGCAAAATCACCACCTTACATTTACTCAATTTACAAACTATATTTTGATGTTTCTTTTAACTGCATCTTGATTTTTCCCCCACCTACAGAACACCTCATGTCTCTTTATCCACCCTCAACCCAATCTAGCTATTTTATTTATTTTTTAAAAAGATTTATTTATGTGTGCATAGAGACCTGGGGTACAGGCCAGAGGTGCAGGGGGACTCACCAGAGACAGAGTAGGGAGCAGACAGGTGGATCTACTGAAATACACTGCTGAGGGGAGCAGTGGGGAAGACAGGAAAGGTCTGCTGCGCCCATGTGAATCATCACCTCCAGGCTGGGGATCCAACTCTCACTGAAGCGGCTGGAGCTAGCTTGCAGTGCTGCACCTCCAAGGAGACCCAATCTAGCTATTTAAAACTTGTTTACACCCACTCTTGCTTCCTTTTGACACCTTAGCTTCAGTCCTAAATCCTATGAAGTGGTTAGAGTGACCTTTCAAACCTTGAGAGCCTCCCAGTCTCAGCTTTCTTCCAATTCTTTAGTGAATATCCACCTTATATAATTAAACTCAACAAAGCTGTGATCTGGCCCCTGGTTCCTTAAACTTTGTGCTCCACCTCATCCCAACACCAATTACATCTATCTAAAAATGAAAGCCTGGAGTACGATGGGGATATGAGGGGTGAAAAGAAATTATAAATAGTCTGTGAGGGAGATTTGGGTGAATAATTTATTACAGCGTCTTGATTGTGCTGACAGAGGTATGCTTGCACATCATGTATCATGAAATATTGCATTTAATTAAGTTCAGTTTATAGTGTTAAGTATATTCAATGTAGTTACATGATGTGATTTAAGAAACACCCTAACTTATGTTGTTCCTGTCTGAAATCTGATCGCAAAGCTTGCTCCTCAATTCTATACTTCACACCAAAAAAGCTTCTCTCACCACTGTAATTTCTCCTCTTTAAAGTCGGTTAAAGGAGGAGATCATTTAAATTTTCTGTCATGGCCAAAAACTGGGCTCCACCTAGGCGGGGCTCAATAGGGCCTGTTCAGAGTTAGATCCCTTAATGCATAAGGCGTTGCACACAGTAAGGGTTAGATAAGTATTTACTGGGTGGCTGACTAATGGAGGGCCACTTCGGCAATTACAAACTGTTCCCTTGTCTACACCAACCACGCTCAGTGAGGGGTGGGGGATAGAAGCGCCGTGGTAAACAGTTTCGAAGGCCGAGGTGACCCTGAGCGGGAGTGATCACCAAAGAGGTGATCCTCATTTTCTAGCGCACAAAGCTCAGGAAAGCCCGAGGGCGGTCAACACCACCACTACAGATCCTTGACCTTGAGGAAGGCCGAGGTATCTAGGGCGCGCTCGGGCTTCTCCAGGGACGGACGAGGCTTGAGAGGTCATTCTCTAGGAGCGGTGGAATGGAGTCCCGAGTCCCAAGTGCCAAGCCCCGGACAGACTCACTCACCGGCAAACTTCAGGACCGCAGAACACGCGCCGCTCACGCCGGCCGGAAGTCTTCTCACTTCCGCTTTCCGGTCCCTCCTGCGTGTCTCCGAGCGAGCGCGCTGCATGCCGGGAACAGCAGCTCCGGTAGGCGGGGCGAGGTGCGTTGTCCTGGAGTCCGTGACGGACGCGCTTCCCGCCTTTGGTCGTGGGAGTCCGAGTCTTGGCCGCCGGCTCCGGCCAGACAGGTGCGGAAGTCGGAGAATGCGGACGAGACTGTAGGTCGAGGTTCTGGCGCCAGCTGGGCCAGCCAGTGCGCGTGGGCGGGGTAGCGCAGCAACTCGAAACAGAGAAGCTCGCCTGGGACTGACAGGTAGGGAGCACAGAGTCTGCCTTAGCTACTGCAACAGTCATGATTTCCTTTAGCCCAAACATTCCAGGTGGAGTGTCCATCAGAGATCATCCTTATTTAGTCCTTAGATTTTGCTAGCCCAGGTGAGTCACGGTCTCCCGGATGTACACAGTACACGTCAGACGGTGTCGAATTGGACCTTAAATATGACCCGTTTATTATGTGTTATATACCTCAATACTGTTACTAAAAATAAAATAAAAGCCTTCCCCTTCTCCAAGAGGGTAAAGTGACCAAGCTAGGTTCTTCCAGTGTCTGTGTTGCATTAATAAATGTGTCTCACAGCCAGAATTTCCTTGTCCATAGAAGGACGCTAATTCTGCATCCTGAATTACTAAATTTAGCCTACAGTAAGGTTTGTTTTTGTTTATGTTTTTTAATGTGGGAGAGGAAAGCTCATAAATTAACATAAAAAAGAAGCATGGTTGTAAAATCTGTTTTCTTTAAATAGCTCAGGTTCTTATCAGTAAATGAAATTCTATTTTACAGATAAATTACATATTAGATCTCAGTCATCTTATCAGTACACAAGTTCACCTTGCATTCTAATTTAGAGAAAGCTCTCTTTGATAGCCCTGATTAACTGCATCTTGCTTAAAATAGCAGGCCAAGACTTTTAAATAGACATTTAATAGGAGAGAAAAATAACATCAATTTTGAAAATATAATAATGTTAAATATACCCCATAATTCAGCATTTTTTTAATGATTTTTTTAAAAATTTATTTATGTATGCATCAAGAACCAGAAGTGCAGGGGCAATGAGAGGATTCACCAGAGACAGAGTGGGGAACAGAACAGGCAGATCAACAAAATACACTGCTGAGGGGAGCAGTAGGCAAAACAGAAGAGGTCTGCTGTGCCATATGGGTCACCTCTGGGGCCAGGGATCGAACTTACACTGAAGCAACTGCAGCCATCTTGCAGTGCTGTGTCCTAACCTGTTGTGCCACCAGGGAGGGCCCTAACTCAGCATTTCTAATGCTTTAAAAAGTTCATAGACTACATTATTGAAAAACCCCTCTTTTAACATATAGTGTCCTCACTAGTTTGTATATATACAGAGTTCTATTACACAAGAAATAATAAATGACCTTGATATATTTAAAAACCTTTAATTCATATATTTGAGTGTTCATTCCTGATAGGTAGTATGCTGAGAATACAAAGATGAAAAGGACCAAATGACCGTCTTCAGTAGACTTTCAGCCTGGAGTAAGGGCTAAAGATTAAGGGTCAAATTGGGCATTGGATCCCATTTTTGTCACAGAGGTGGAAGGAGACTATGGAACTGGAAACATAGGGTAGCTCTGAATACCTGAGGGGAAGGAGACTGGTTCTCCCACCTTAAAAGATTCTACAGTTAAGATGGCCCAGTAAGTGGCACTTCTGTAGTCAGACCTGTCTCATGGAACTCTCTATCTGTACTGTCACTTAGTCGTATTAGGGAGATTTTTCTGGGATTGAGATGGTGACCTCATGTTGTTGTCCAGGCCCTAGATGACAGAGACTTTGAGACAAAGCTCTATGAGCAAAAAGAACCTAAATTCCCAGCTGCTCCCCAAAATGCCCACAACTAGCTACTGACACACTCATTCCCCAAAATGCATCAAGTTTACAGAAGATCTGAAACCTGCAGAAAAGAAATGATGGCAGGTAGACAGGGCCCACTGCTCCTTTTTCTCCAAATTGCATTCAATAAAAAGTTCTGAGATACTGCTCTTTTCCTCGTTTGCCTCTTGCCGCCTCTGATTGTACTTTTCACATTGCATGTGAAAATGCTGTCACTCTGTCAATTACTGTCAATACTTTTTTACTATTTCTGGTGTCTGCATATTTTCACCTTTATTTGATATAAAAAAATTAAGTTGCCTATCTCCCCTTTCATCTAGTATTTCTGCCGCTTGGTAATATCCCTGCCTATGCAAACTCATTTTTGTGTACACTGGCACACAGAGACACCCCATAGCAGCACTTATTGTGGTGCTAAAAACAAGGAATTATATTAAAATTCATTGATGGCACAACATAGGAATAACTATGGCTCACTTATAAAATATAATATTCTATACCAGTGGTTTTCAAACTTCTTGATCTTATCTATTTACTATTATTAGAAATTAAAACATTTGTCATATCAGAAATTTTAGATTTTTAAAAAATCTAACATTGTAAGCAGATACATTGTCTATATTTTTATTTTTAAAATTAACTATTTCCTAAACCACAAAATAACATAGTGAAAATCGTGGCAGTGTCAACTCTGATTTTGTTTAAATTATCTATAGTTAAAATTCAATACATGCTGCATTTCGACTAACAATACGTGGCAGCTGACACTAAACATTTACTTTATGTATCTCTCATTTCATTCTCTGAATCCAGTAAGTATAATAAAAATAAGACAAAAAACCTAAGAAGGATAAATAACTTGCCATGGTCATAAAATCAGCAGTTCACAGTAAGGATTCTAACCTAATAGAATCCTTACACTTGAGTAGTAGCATCATACAATTGGGTATTCAACAATTAATTGGTTATGATGTAATCCAACTTAAGCTAAAACTCACCAGCTTATACTAAGCTTATACTACTCAACTATTTCAGCTAAATAATTCACCTAGGAAATGATGCTTAGCATATATTATGGTTTGAGTTGTACACTCAGAGTTCATAGACTATTTAGACTGCCATAATGGGTAGTTTATAAACAACAGATTTTGCTTCACTTAGTTTTGGAGGCTTAGAATTCCAAGATTCAGGTGCCAAAAAATTAGGTCTACAGTAAAGGCCCACCTGGTTTACAGACTGTCTTTTCTCTATAACATCAGATTGGCAGAAGGAGAGAGAAATTCTGCAGGGTCTCTTTTGCAAAGAGCTCTAATTTTATTCATGAATGCTCCATCCTCCTAATCTAAGTGTTGTCCCCAAATCCCTGTCTCCTCATAACATCACATTAGGCATTAGATTTTTTTTTAAAGATTTATTTTTTATGCACAGAGCTAGGGTACAGGCCAGAAGTGCAGGGGCAGTGAGAGGATTCATCAGAGACAAAGTGGGGAGCAGAACAAGTCGACTGACGAAGTACACGACTGAGGGGGGCAGCGGGCAGGCCAGGAGAGGTCTACCACACCATGTGGATCACCTCCGGGCGGGGATCAAACACATGCTGAAGTGGCATTAGCTTCTCAGTGCTGTGCTTTAACCTGCTGTGCCACCAGGGAGGGCCCCTGGGCATTCGATTTTTAACATACAAATTTTTGAGGGACATAAAGATTTAGATCACTGCAAAGTCCTAATCGCTAGTAGCTCAAAATATAACAAATTTTATGTCAAAATATCTAACTTTTTTTAAAAAAGATTTTATTTACTTATGCATACAAGAACTGGGGTGCAAGCCACACATGCGGGGAGGTAAGAGGATTCACCAGAGACAGAGTGGGGAACAGAACAGGCAGATCTACTGAATTACACTGCTGAGGGGAGTAGCAGGCAGGTCAGGAAATGTCTGCCATGGCATGTGGGTATCCTCCCTGGCTCGGGATCGAACTTATGCTACAGTAGCTGTAGAAAGCTTCATAGTGCTATGCTTTAACTGGCTATGCCACCAGGGAGGACCCAAAATATCTAACTATTTAATAATAAATCATTTTATCATGATACATACAATATTTTAATATAATTTTAATATATACTGAATGGTAAAAAAATTTACTTTTTAATGCCTTTTCTGTTCCTTTTGCTAAAATAATTTTTTGTTTTTACCCTTTTAAATAAGATTAAGACCTAGAAAAGGAGGTGTACACTTTATAATGGTAGAGTCAGAACTTTAAAATCAAAAGCAAATCTAATGCTACTTAATAAGAGAAAATGTAGATGAAAATCACTAGATAAATTGATAATCTAATCTCATGAATAATTTTGCTCTATTAAATGTATTAGGAAGCAGGTTAAGAATTAGTTCTGTAGAATTGAGAATATAGCTTTGAACTTGCTGTCTCTGTTCTGCCTTCCATTCTGATAAATATTTATGCATATATTTTTATTGGCAATGTAAGCTAGCACTTCAGTTAATACTTTTTTTGGTTTGGAAATAAAACTACATTCTTTATTCCCAGTTAAAGATCATGATCCCTACTTGAGGATTATGAAATTATTTTTGAATTGCAAATGAACAATCTATGTGGCAGATTAGTACAAAAAATAGAATTTTGATATCTTATCTGATATTCTAAATTAAAATTCAGAAATATGGTACCATAAATAACAGTAAGATTTATATGGCTATCATATAATCTAATAAATACGTATTTAATATAGTTTATTTTTATACATTAAATATCTATTATAATTACTATTATACAATAGCAAATGTATATTATAAACATTTTATTTCACTGAATGTTTTACTAAAATATTACTAGTATATAATAGTAAATATGTTACTATTATAGTAATAGCTCAGAGGAACATAGCAAACAAGAGTCTTAACAGTATTTGCTAATTATACCTCTAAGTTTATTATTTAATGACTCAGTTCCTAAGGCCAGCAATTTTTGGAGGGCTGTATAAGACCTGGGTTGCGGGCCAGAGGTGCAGTGTGTGAGGAGATTCACCATAGACAGAGTGGGAAGCAGAACAGGACTTACTGAAATACCCTGTTACGGAGAGGTCTGCTACTCCATATGTGGGTTAGCTCCTTGGGAAGGGACTGAACTGAGGCCATAGGGGTGAACTAGTGCTGAGACTTAAACCCTAGAATACCAGGGAGGCCCTGGGGACTGCTTTCAATCACTTTTTATTAACTGCTTCCAAAAAGCGCAACAGGTGCAGGAATAGATTGATGATATCCAAGTAGAGGTTGATGGCAGCTAATACATACTCTTCAGGTGATAGCCTGTGCATCAGTGAGTGTGTGTCATAGATGATGAATCCACAGAAGAGAAGTGCTCCGACAGCAGCTATAACCAGTTCCATTGTCTCACTATGAAAAAACAACTGTAGGCAAGAGATTAAAATAAGTTTATAATTAAGAGCAGTATTAATACCTAAATTATTTATCTTAAGTTACATATACTACATAAGTAATGCTGTACAGCTTTGTATTTAAATGTTAAAAGCAGAAAGTGGCAAGAGAGATTCACTCTTCTTTTGAATGAAGCAATGGATAGCTTACTCTCTAAAAAATTACTTGACTTTGAACATTAGCATTTAAACATTTTTGAGAACTATATGTGCCATTGGAGGTTAGCAATTACATGTGAGGGTCTCTTTCTATATAATTTTTAACTCATTTATTCATCTCTTTTTTTTTTAAAGATTTATTTATTTATGCATACAGAACTGGGGCACAAGCCAGAGGTGCAGGGGTGGTGAGAGTATTCACCACAGAGTGGGGAGTGGACAGGTGGGTCTACTGAAATACACTGCTAAGGGGAGCAGCAGGCGGGTCAGGAGAGGTCTGAGAAGCCATATGGACACCTGAGAGGCCTGAGAGGCAAAGCAGCTGCAGCTCGCTTGTAGTGCTGCGTCCTAACCCGTTGTGCCACCAGGGAGTGCCCATTTATTCATCTTTCTTTCAATAATATTAACATAATGCCTTGATTATTTTAAAGACAATAATAATTTTACATACAAATGTTACAGACAATTACAGCTAAGTAACCTATCATGAGGCTACTGCTTATATAGCATTTTGTAATTATAGATATTGACATGACCAGAAGTACACTTCAAGTTACTATTCTAAAAGAAAACTTACCTTCAGGATTCCTGACAAGCATAAAATCCATAAAACAGCAAACAGTCTATAAAAAAAAAAAATATTTAGAATATTCTGTCTTAAAAAATTTTACAAACCCAATAAATATTTTATTTTCTGAAGAAGTAAAGCTGTCCTCTTATTTACCGAAGAATAAACTGAAATGTAGAAATTTACAACAAATACTGTATAATATGCAGAAACTTACTACTCAACATCTATTTTATAGTATAGAAAAGTGTTCAAGTGGAACATAAAATATATCAACAGAAATGTCATTAGAAGTATTTTAATTCAGAGATCTATAAAACTTCTGGAAATATAGACAAGAACAAATTAAACATAACTGAATTTAAAAAAACAAACAAACAGATTATTCTGTAGCCATATATATCCAAATGTTTCCAAAGTCCTGCTGTTTTTATTCAGAAATGTCACAAATGATTGAAGTAACAGTCAATAACATTCAAGGAGAGAAAAGACAACACTATTAAAAGGAAAGAAATGGAAGATGCATATTTTTTTCAAAAGATAAAAATTGAACTGAACTTCTGTAGGTGAAAAATAACAGTATGTAAAATGAATTCTCTGATTGGAACTAAGGGCAGATAAGGCCCTGAAGAAGCTAAAGTTACTAAATTTAACCCCTGGTGGCACAGGGGTTAAGGTCTCAGCTATCAAACTATTGCAGCCACTGCAGCATGAGTTCCATCCCCACCCAGGTTGCTGGCCCACATGGCCCAACAGACATCTCTTGTCTTGCCCACTGCTTTCCTCAGCAATGTAATTCAGTACATCTCCCTATTCTGCTCCCCACTCTGTATCTGGTGAATCCTCTTACCCCCTGCACCTTAAGCTTACACCCCAGTTCTTGTATGTATAAATAAATCAATCTTTCAAAAAAAAAAAGTTACTGAATTTGAAAGTAGCAACAAAAACTAACCAAAATGAGTTAACAGAGGGGGGAAAGACTGGAAAAAATGAGCAGAGCATCAGTGAACTGCGGGACAAGCTCAAGAACCTAACATCAGTAATTGGGAGTCTCAACAGAGATAAAAAAGAAGGAAACCTAATGGTCAAAATGTTCCAAATTTGATAAAAATCTTTAAACTGGTAGTTTTTGAAGACTTTTTAAAGTGTTGCTGTACTGCCTGCCTCTTGATATCTAAATGCTCTCAAGAAATCTTACCAGAGTTTGCCTGGTTGCCCAAGTCATTATTCAAAAGTATGATAACTTTACTGGGATATGTCTCAGTATTGTTTATTTTCATATAAATCTACTGGCTCATGTAGTGCCCTTTCAATAAATACACTTAAAAATTAAAAATAAAAGAACTTTGACAGATCCAAAATCAAAATAAATATTTAAAAAATGTAAGGGATATTATAATCAAATTACCAAAAATTACTAAGAAGAATATAAAAGGTAGCAAGGGGATAGAAGGCATTATGTACAAAGGAACAAAGACAGCAGACTTCTATCAGAAACTACATAAGCTGTGATAGTGTAGAATGAATTTTTAAAGTACTGAAAGACATGAAAAACCTAGAATCCTATACCCAGCAAGAATAACTCAAAAACAAATTATTTTCAGATGATTTTCAGTCATACAGAAGCCAAGAACCAACAGACTAGCACTGTAAGAAATGTTAAAAAAAATCCCTCACGGCCCTCCCTGGTGGCACAGCAAGTAAAAGAATATTAAATGGAAATTTGGAGATACACAAAGAAATGGAGAGTAACAGAAAAATACGTAGAAATCTTAAATAAAAGTCTTCATCCATTTTTAATATCTTATAAAAAAGACAGTTTAATGTTTATAGTAAAAATAATAGCAATGTAGTATAAGGTTTATAGACAGAACTAAAAGTTACAGCACAACAGTAGGGAAAAGAAGATCTAAGTATACGCATGAATGGTGTATTATTTGAACATAGACTGATAATTTACAGGTGTATACTATGAAACCTAGAGCAACTTCTACTTGAAAGTCAACAGTTAATAACCAATAAAGGAGATTAGTCAAATAGAAAGAAGCAAGGAAAAGAATAAAAAAGGACAGGATAAACAGGGAAAATAATGGTGAAATGGTAGGTGTAAACCCAACATATCCATGAAACAGACACAAAATGTTGCCCCTCCCAAAATCAAATCCCAATGAAATATAATCATTTCTATTCTGTTATACATTTCCCTATCAATATAGAAAGTAAGCAAGTGACAGAAAGTCACTTTCCGCTACCATATGTTCTGGGAGAATAAATACATCCTAGTGCTAGTACATAAAGAGATGACCTCTTATCACCCTCCATTTTAAAAGACAGTATTCTAACTAAAGACAACAGTATACATAATGAACATATCAATTGAAACCTTGAATATGTAACTTACCCTGCTCCAAATTTGCTGAAGTCTCTCTTAGATTGTAGAGTATATGCAGTCAAGCCAAGAAATACTGCAGTAGTCAGTATAAAAGCTTGCAGAACAATATATACATCATAAAAAGTAACTGTAAAATGAAAACAATTAAAAATGCATATAAACATAAAAAATTTATTTATGGTATTTAACAGAAATGTGAAATGTTTTCTTTTCTCCTGTACTACTTGCCAATTAAAACAATTATGAAAAGATTTCTTTCCCAGTATTACACAAAATGACCCTATAATGCAATAAACAGGATCCAAAATACTCATTTACACATAAAATAAGAGACCATATCACTATGAAGCTAAAGAAAAGTCTAAAGAGATACTACACAGCTAAGTGGTTAGGAGTTGTGGGGATATGACAGAATGATTCTCACCCACCCCTGTCCTCGCTGTTGTGACTGCCCATTAAAGTTTAATAGTCAATGGGATTGTTTATTGCTGCTTTATTTACAAGTGGAAAAACATAGAAGAAGCCCAAATGCCCAAAAGTAGATGACTGGAT